AAAAAAGGGCTAATTCTTCTTCAAAGAGATAAAGAAAGAGAATTCTGCCAATTAATGAGAGTCCACTATACAACTAGGCACTACACAGGTGTTTTATATTCATTTCCCCTAACTTATGTGGTATATACTATCTTGTTTAACAAATGGTGAAACTGGGAAGTTAAGTAACTTGCTTTAGGTCACAAAGGAGAGGCAAAACTAGAATTTTATCCCAACTATCTGACTTCTAAGTTTGACGTTTTTTTCCACAATACTACCTACAACATACATTTATTTAGTGATATAAGAGTGACAATATTAGATTTCTCTTCAGGGAGCAATTTCCCAAGACTGCATTTTCCATTTAGCTGTGCCTGAATTATTGATTTGTTTATAATTGCTGTCCTTTACCATAAAGATCTATGTTCAATTTTGGGAGTAAGAAGCCTATTAGCATGATAGTTTTCTTCATGGCAGCTATATCATATATCAGTTAAAATTAACATAACTTTGCAACAGCCTGGCCAGGTGTTGCTAAGTACTATAATACCACATTCAGCACCTGTGAGTATCTTGACAAAAATTACAAATGATACACCAGGCGAGCTGCTGTTTCTGAATCAATGCATCTTGCAAAAACCCTCAAAAATCTCAGCATACTGTACTGAAAGCATGTACATACACCGTATCATAGAAAGAGGAGGCAGGAAAGAGACCAATTAGCTCAAAATATGCGTAAAGCAGTAGGAAGAGGAATTATATAGTAGTCTCTTTAAGAATAGCATTGCCCCAGTATCATGTGTAATTCAAATTTTATAATTTCTAAGTAGCTTTAATAATCAAAAAGTTCTATAGAATATGATTCTACTTATCCAGTTAAAGAAGGAAAAGGGCATATGTTTTTCCTCTGAGAATTTATAATTAACATAAGGCAAGGGAACACAGCCTTCCCTGGCAGAGCAGTTACCTCTAATAACACGCTGTTTCTCTGGTGAGAGGGAATAACCTTTTTGCTGTCTTTTTGACAAAAATGACTCATGTAGTATTGGCATTGTACTAGGGAAAAGATGAGCTGAGCTGAGTTTTCAGTAATTTGTTTTAATTTTATAATCAAAAAGCAATTACAGTACAATCTCATAACCTATTGACCTTTCCCCCCTTCCTCACTTGTGCCCCAACATTCACAGAACAGAATCAACAGATGCACAAAGACTTTCACCGTGAAGCCTTTGAATACCTAAAACCCTAGGGAAGAAGGAAAGGAAATAAGGTGGGGCAGAGCTTGAGAGCTGGAGGGACTAAAGTGCAAGAAAAATGATGACTGATTTCTCATCACCATAG